AGCAGCTAGCAGCACTAATTCCTTAGAGATGTCCCGCCCCTAAGCCTATCACGTACAATGTGTTGTCAAGGTCCCTACACGCCAAGCCGATTTAGGCCGACGATAGATGTCAGGTCGTCGATGAGCGTCCTGGCGCCCTACTCAGATTGGTGTGTCCCGCACTATCGTGTCTTTTCGGCCGTGCCGACACCTTCCGCCGCCGATTCGACATGTTGAATCGGGAGGCTGTCGGCAAAAGAAATCACTCCGATTGGCTGTTCAGCTTAGCGAATACACACTACCGCCACCTGCTGCTGGTAAGGAGAGTTATTGCCACTCACGCATGCGCAATTCGTACGTGCTACTTGGCCGTCGACTGAAGTCTTTGCGGTGTGTTCCAGTGCGACACAGGAGACGTGAGGCGACGCAGGAGACGTGAGGCGACGTAGGAGACGTGAGGCGACACAACAGTCGGGTCCATCGGGACGTGTTCTTTGGGGTCAGTTTGGTGTGTAGGCCCCTTAAGAGCAAAAGTGATGTCACTTTGTTCCAGAAGTAAACAAGTCCAATCGAGGCGTTGATGAGGATATTTAAAAAATTAAAAAAGATTGGGTATCTCAGCTGTATTCAAGCACATTAATTTGTGTCAATCTGAAGCTGGATATATCTGTGGATACACTTAAAACATGTAATCTATGACCATAATGTGTTGGATAAACAAAAACAGCCTCGCACTGCAGATCCAGAGCGAGCCAAAGTAATAACGAGTGCTTTAAGAGTGTTTATCGCTGGGTATATATGAGACAACACAGCACAGTATGAGCAGATTGACTCTGAATGTATTCTGTATTTATGCTCAGATATACACAGGCTGGACCATGAGTTTATTCAGTGGTGGTTTGTTTTGAGGTTAGGTGTCAGACTACGGGTGTCAATTAGCACACTTATCTCCAAAAGTGTAAGTGTTTTGAGCCCCGAGCATTTCACTTAGTCTGTTGTGTCTGCTCGGTTTAAATAAGGGCAGCCTAGTTCAGGAATTACATTCAGATGAAGCACTACATTTACAGACATTAGTGTTCATATTTAATCCTTTCAACCTCTGGGGTTTCACTTTCTGTCTGGTTTTGTTAGACGAGATTTCCGCCGATGACAGGAAGGACGGACACAAGGAGTGAGAGGACGGACGGAAAAAAGAAAGCCAATAAGGGACAGAATATAAATATAGGACAGAACGGAGCAATTAAGAGGATCTGATGTTGTACGTCTGCTGCTTATGAATAACGCAGGTTAGTGCTTTTTCTGCTGCATTATAACACCAGTGAGCTGGGAGAAGCACAAGAAACAGATACAATGGTGAATATTAGAAAAGGTGGGTGAATATAAACATTATACATGTCTTAAAATGAGGGTTTTAAACTATAAAACAGTGGAAGTGGGGTTGCTATAAGAGAGATACAGTAAAATAGTGAAATAAACCGCTCACTGATGCATAAATCTAGTTTTCAATCAGCTAACAGTAGGATATGTTTTGTCACACTACATTAAAAGGAACATCTGGAAGCCAAACACAGAAATAGCTCAGCATTCAGATCTAAAATTAAAGAGTCAGCATGAAGCTGTCAACAAGCTGCTTCAAAGTGTTAAAGACGCCACGAGAAATTAGCTATGTATCCGCACATGTGAAAGTCTAATGGGAGAATAAATCCCCCCAGAGAGGGATTTGTGTCATAAAGTGAATCCGGTTTCATTTCTACTCGTAATGCTTCAAACTAGGGCTGTGCAATGAATCGTATTTTAATCTCGATTTTGGCTTGCAACGATTACGAAAACTGCGCAATCGAACTAAAACGATTATTTTTGCTGCATTCCCTTTCGCAATAATGCTCTAAATTTCTCTTGCGTTATACATCCTGCGTGCATATTCACCCCTCCCTAAAAGCCCTCTCGGCCAGGTTCTGTTGTGACTTGCAGTCCGTTTAATAAATCCATATGAACGCGTTACAAGGGAAGCTTTAGCTGCCGTGTCCACAGCAATGTGCAAAACACCCATTCAAGATGCTGATGTGTGACAGTGTCCATGTCCACAGAGAGCAGTATTAAAGAACCACTGAGTGTCAGGGTCATCCTGCGGTGAGCTGTCACTGTGTGATAGGGGTGTGTGTGTGTGTGTGTGTGTGTGTGTGGGTGTGTGTGTGTGTATGATATAAAGTGCAGTGTGAGGGCATTGAGGCTAAGCTCCGTTTGTCTCCATCAGCCAACAGTACTCAGATTGACTTTTTTTGACACTTGCATGAATGCATTTGTGCGCATGCTGTGTGTGTGCGCATGCTGTGTGTGTGTGTGTGTGTGTGTGTGTGTGTGTGTGTGTGTGTGTGTGTGTGTGTGTGTAACACCAACACACACTTTGTTCTTTTATACTCAGACAATCACTACATGCTGAAACAACATCGTACAATTCAACATTTCACAACCCAACTTCACTATAAGAGCAGGAAAGATCTATTTTATCTCCCATTAATGATTAAAAGTACCCAGAAATGATGCCTTATTGTTGGAGAAACAGAAGTGTTCAGTGCCTCTGAGCATGTGAAGATGAGCAGCAGATGGGTGGTCCTGGGAGAGAGGCCACCTCGTATTTATAAAGGTCACATATTTAATATTTAATACCAGCAGCTGCAGCCATTTGTCCAGCTTAAACGTCTGTGGGCAAAACAACACGCTGCATGGACCTGCTGTTGCTTTCTGTATCCTGTTTGCTGATACAGTCATTTGCACATTTTAAGCTAACCAATGTAGCAGCCAGATCAGTCCTGTGCATTTTGGTATATGTGGGCACTCAAAGACAGTATGTTGTCTGTCTGTCAATTAGGGTTGCCAGAAACTGACCATGATCAAAATCGATTATTCGGCAGCCCTGGCGAATAATAATCGATTATTCGACCGACCCCCCCC